TGGAATACAAGAAAGTTGGATGGAATGTGACGATTGGTAACACCATGTTGTTTGCATATGCGAGAATGAAAGATTTTGAGAACATGAAAGTTGTAATCTTGAAAATGGTGGATAGAGGTGTGAAAGGTGATATTGTTACTTGTGGGATTTTGTGTGATGTATACGGGTTTGATGAGTTGAGTTGTTGGAGAAAAATGGGATTGTTTGGACATGTTGTGGAGTTTAAAAGTAACCCTTTGATTCTTGTTGCATTTGGAAAGGGGATTTTTTTGAAAATTGTTGAAGAACTTGATCATAAAGAGAGTAAAGTTTGGAGCTATGAGCATCTTATCAAGTTGGTGAAGCAACATCAAATTGATGAAGATAGGTTTCCATGATATGAATGATTCACTCTTTTTGTTTAGAAAACTTGTAGAAGCATTAAACCCATTAATACTTGTGTAATTTTCCTTGTTAAAATTACTAAAATACCCTTTCACCATATATTTTTACAAATAAATGTCTTTTTATCTCCAATTGCCATGCCTCTTCCTCTTTTCCTCTCCAATTTCACAAATTACTACTAGAGAAATCAAATGCCACTACTTAAAAACAAAAATTCAAATTCAAATGAAGGGAGTATATCAATCCAAAAGTACAAAAAGAGAATCAAAAGTGTCCATGTATCAACAATCTAGACAATAAAAAAAACACGACCAAATTTTTTCCCCCTTTTTCGGCTCCTTGGGAGCAGAATCCGCTCCGATATATAACCTTAAAGTTCTCAAAATACACAATAGACATACTATCCATCTCACAAGTTGTAACTTAACCAAAAAAAAAAAAAAAAAAGTCAAAACTAAAATTACCAAATACTCTTCTCTCCCTGAAATAAGCATCATTCTCTTTTAAGACTCGATTCATATGAACATTTTTATAACAATAGAAGACATGAAGATTCCTTAATTTTCAAGAAGTTTGAACAGCAAGCCTCTGTAAATGCTCAAAGAAGACTTGAAGGTTGACATCATCAGTGAAGATGACATCCATTCCAGCTGTAGCCACTTCATTGTTATATGTTGCTGATGGATTCAACTTAGCCAATAAGAATCTTGCCTGTTTTTCACATATTAATGAGTTAATCACTTAATGTATTCAAACACCAACCCTTTTACCTATTTGCAAAAATTTGTTATCTGGAATGCAAGGGTAAAATGGTCATTTAATTTCATTCAAACGGTTTATTCAGTCTAGAAAAGAAACAAACCTTATGTATACACTATACAACAACACTTTATCTGTAATTTACTTAACTAATCAATATTGTGAAATTTGTTATTTGGAATGCGAGGGTAAAATGGTCATTTACCTGAGAACCATGTTGATCACACACCACCAATCGTGGGACAGGAAACCGCTCACGTATTATTAGTTCTGCATCATCATGTGGCGCTTGTAACAACTGAGCAAATGCCTACAAAAATAATATATATTAACATGATGTTTTTTTTTTTTTTTAAATTATAAAAAAAGGAAATGAGGGAAAATGAGAAAAAGTACTTGATGTTCAGGCTGATGTTGGTAGCCATTGTTTCTCCATTGAGCAATTGTCATGCCATGAAAAACAACTACACTAAAATAAGAATCTAACAACAAGATTCTATCAGCTGAAATTGATGCCACATCAAGCAATGCAGGAGAAGGAAGTGAGTTGAATGAATATGAAATCAATGAAGGCTGAATCATCACAGTTGCATTTGTTATGCTTTCTCTGTTTAACATCATCCGAAAATAAGCAGTTTCATCTGGACTATTATTAAACACCTGCCAACATTTCATAAAAATCATAAAACTCAACATATAACAAAAAGGGTAATTCGGTAAATTAACAGCTTTTTACCTGAACAAACTGTGATCTTCGAAGATTGAACATGAATTGAGGGAACAATGAGAAACTAGGGTTTAAAGAAAACGAAGAGGGGTCGTCTTTTCTATAGTCCCCAAATTTGGAACATAGGCGAATTAGGTTTCTATCTATCCACCTTGTTGCATCAAATGATTCCTGAAAAGGGTAATTCCGTAAATAAAATTTATATATTTGATTTGTATAAAAAGTACTACAAAAGAAAATGCAAATTCACCTCCATTTCCATTTTATAAGAAGTTAATCTAGCCACTACTACAGCAGCAGTCTCTTGATCAAAACCTTGCATTAATTCCTGTTAAAGAAAAGGGTAAATACGTCTTTTTCCCAAATAAAGAAAAGGGTTTTACTATTTTTTTACCTCTGAAACAACAGCACTCTCTACCCATCTTCTAGTGAGTGTAGTAACTCGTAGTTTCGGTTGCCCATCAACACTCTGGTATCTGAACCAAAATGACCGTTATACCCTTACATTCTCAAAGAAACAACTTTAATGTGGGGGGAAAAGAAAGGTGAGTTTACCTTGTGGTGGTTTGTATATACAACTGTGGATTTACATTTCCAGAAGGATCTTTATCACTTGATGATATATCAAAGAAAACAGTCAAACAAGTGTCTTTATCAAGTCCACATAACTTCCATGATGTGGTGTTCCCTTCACCTATCACTGTGTTTGCAACAGCAAGTCCTTTCTGCAAAAAAATAAATAAATAATTATATACAAATTGGTAAAGATTAATGAACAATTTATTAAATGACTAAATTGCCACCTTTTCCAAGGATGTGCAAGGTCCAATGATCCCCTGAATCTTGATATCCTTTGAACATGTAATATCAAGTATGCCACTGAAAGTAATTTAATCACAATTCACAAATTCATTATACATTTATAGTTATACATCAAATAATATAATGATTTTTATGTGACTACATAATGATATATACTCACTTATGAGCAAGGCCAAGAGACTCTTCTCCTTTCTCAAAAACACGTTTGAATGAATCTTTAAAAACTGAATGACCAAAACTTTCAGCTAAAACAACAAGCCCACCAGTTCTTTCAATGATCACCTTCATTTCTGCAACTCCAACCTAAGAATATAAAAAAGGTTCAGTAATTCAGGTAAGAACAGAATGATGGAATGAATAGAAGAGTTAAGAGAATGAATGTTGGTTGACCTGGTCAAGGGCAGAAGCAAAAAGATCCAAAACATGACCTTGGCTGACCATTTGCTTTGCAAGTTCTTCATAAAACTGAACTGCTTTTCTGAAATATGGTGCTGCATCTTTGTCCAGATCTTTATGTGAACGAACAGGATCTGAGAGATCTTTGGATATGATCTGAAAGAAGATTGAAGGGAGATGGAGGTTTGGGTTTAATGGGAAGTGGAAATGATTCAATGAAAAAATGGATATCAAAATGGCTTACTGAACCAGGGCCTTCTGTGCAGGGACCTCCGACTAGTGCCACCATACGAGCACCTGTTCCAGGCAAGCAAGCTCCAAGCAGACCTGCTGCAACACTCAATGCGACTCCAGTACACCTTAATGAACGATTACCAGGAGCAACAGGCCATTGATCTGTTCCTAATTCCTCCAGAAGCTGAATTATGGATTTGATAAGCATCCGATTGAGAGGAATGGATTGAATTTAAAACGATGTGATGAAAAAACTCACCGAATGGATAATGTATGCACCCTCGGAAGCAGGTAGTAAGAACCTTGTGACACCAGCATTTGGTTGTACTGGTCCTTTCTGAAACCCTTGACCGGGCACCGGCACACCACCAGGTCTTCGGCCACCGGCGAAACCTCCGCCTAACCCCAATTGCTCTAGAACTTGATCTTTGGTCATCTCTTTTGATCCTCGAAAAACATAAACCTTTGACATATCGGAATATCCCAATTCATGAACCTGAACCTGAGTTCCGAAAGAAACAAACCCGACCAAAGCGTTTTCTGGTAAGAATTCAAGCGCCTGTTGTAACGCCGATTTCGCAAACCCTAATTCTTCCTCGATCATGCAGGTGTCAAGTACGAATACGTAGACAGGTGGAGGAAGCGTGTGGTGGACGTCATGAACAGGAAGTGCGTATTCGATAGTGGTGTATTGAGGGTAGAGTTCAGCGGGAACGTTAGTTTCGGAGATGCCGGAGAAGTGGTGAGGGAAGTGGTTGCGCTGGAAGCAGAATGGGCAGATCCAGATGAGGGCGGAGAAGTCGACGCGGCAGAAGGGATTAAGTACGGCGGAGCAGGTCTTGCATCTGAGTGGCTCGTAGGGATTGGTGGGGATGAGAGGGTGAGTGCGGATCGGCGAGATCGAGGCGGCGATTGGAATCACACACTTGCTGGCTTCAACTTTTGTGCGTGGCCAGGCGTTCCAGGTCATACGAACTCCGTCGATTCCCTCTGGATCGGTATTCGCCATCTCCGTCGCCATCTTGCCTGCAAAATTGAAGCTTTTTCTGGGGGTTTTGTATAGTTGGATTGAAGATGGTAAAAAGGGGTTGGCGACCCCTTTGGGGAAGATGGTGAAAAGGGATCACTGAAAATGGTTAGAAATCTGAGAATTGGAGTCAAATGGAGAGAGAGGAGTGAAGGGCGACTACTGTTTTGTGAGCTTCAGTGATGGATTGGGATCGGGTGTGGTTGATCATCTATGAACCTTCATAATCATAGTGTCTTTTTTTTTTGATAAAACTGGTTTTGATTCATTAACAATGTTTTTTTATAATAAATACAGGGATATTTATAAAACTAGTTGAATGAAGCTTTTAATCAAAAATAACTAATTTTATTATGTTTTCAAAAAATATTACTTTGTGCATCCTCCTAATAAATAAATAAATTTTTGTCACACATATTATCATTGATTTGGTCACATATTACTACATATTACTTTGTGGTTATTTTTAATTAGTTTTTTTTCCACATTTATTTGGTTACATATTACTTTGTGGTTATTTTTAATTAGTTTTTTCCCACATGTCATTTTATGGGTGTCTTTAATTTTTTAATTTCTATATAATATTTAAATTTAATAATTGTAATAAATGTAATAATAATAAATACATATCAATTTCATTAATTGATTTTCTTCTAATTTCAAATTTTCTAAATTAAAGTTTTATTGGTTTTTTTTATTTATCTAAATTATTTGTTTAATTTAAAAGAAAACCAAACAATTTAATTTTAATAAATCAATATTTTTCTATTATTTTTCTTATAAATTCAAACTTCTCAAATGTTTAAATTTTCATATTCTTTTATTTAAAATGAACTCATTTAATACATAGATCTTACACCTAGTTTTATAATATTCAAAGTAAATGTCTATTTTTTTATTTACATTAAAAAATATACAAAAAATTACTATATTTATATCTAAAATATTAAATTCAAAAAGTTTAATATTATTGTTTTTTAATAAGGAAAAATTATTAATCTAGCCTAAAACACTAATTACCTATCTAAAAATAGCAAAAAAATATATTAGCCAAAAGTAACCCACAAAATAGTAGATTGGTCAGAGTTAACTACGGTCAACAGTAGAAAACTACTTTTTCGTGGCAATAAGTTGTTGTTTTCCGATATTTCTATTTTTTTACGGCCCATTAGCATATAGTATATAATGTATAATTTTTCAGATTAAGTTATTTTGATTATTATTTTATTGGTTCTACCTATTTTTTTTCTCTCAATAGAGCACCCGAAGAACAACGAAGTATATCCATTTTTTACTAAAAACTAAGTGTGAAACTCATGTATTACATGGGTTTATTAAAAAAAGATATGAAATTTTAACAATTTGAAAAGTTTAAATTTATAAGAAAAATGAGAAAAAATTTGAATTATTAAAATTAATGAGGCTTTAATGTATTGAATACATTACATATATAAACATTTTCTAATGAATACATTTACATTTATATTACCATACATATTAAATGTGGAATTTTAATTTAATAAAATAAAAAATACAATAAAATAACAAGTGGAAAATAAAAAATTCTAAAAAATGACATGTATCCAAATGAAGAAGAATGGAACATGTGACAAAAAGTTCTTTATTTATTAAGGAACATTTACCGTATCGTTGACTAGAAGTAGTTTTTGTATGTGGAGATGATTTTTTTTTAAAGCGAAAAAAAATATTAAAACGGTAGGTTTCGTATGAAGCCTACAATTCTATTTTTATTTTTATTATTATTTTTTTAGTTTATTGTAACCACGTAAGCCATCATATATAAGTTATGACTTCATGATTTTTTTTTCAAAAAACTTTAAAAAAAATAACGAAACCGTAGGTTCTTGAGAGGAAACCGTAGGTTTCCAAAACACCTGCGGTTTTACAAGTTCAAAATGATTTTTTTTGTATTTATCACAAGAAGTAGGTCATTTAACAAAACATTAGTTCACTCTAACTATCTACGGTTTCGTAGGCTATTTTTGGATAATTTCTAATTTTTGGCTAAAAATAGTCAATTACTTTCTCAATTAGACTATATTAGTAATTGTCCCTTTTAATAAAAATATTACATTTTAAACCCATATATATATATATATATATATATATATATATATATATATATATATATATATATATATATATATATATATATATATATACTTCGATATTAAAAAAAAAATTGTTAGATTTTAGTAAAAACAATACATTATAATTTAATATGACATAAAGTAGCTTGGAATGCCTTATTTTAGAAAATTAATTTATGTATATTAAAAAGGGACAACTCTTAGGAACAATACCTGCCAGGTACTGTTCGTGGGTTAGGATTAATCTACCTTGGTCATCGCCTCCGTTGTGTTCTTATTTTGTGGCTTCTCGATTCTTCTTCTCAGTTAAACCTAGCGCTCTCACCACCGATCGTTCACCTCCAACAACAATCTCCTTCTTCACCGTCATCGTGTATACTCTTCTACCACCTCGTTTCTCCACCTCCTACCTATTCTCTTGTAACATCCCGACTCCCATGTATGTTTTTTAAATAATTTACTTACATAATTTTAGAGAAAATCGATGATTTGGATGCCCCAACTCGCCGAGTATAGGAGTTGATGACCGCTGGATTTTTAGAGCTTACTCGACGAGTTGGAGAACCCCAACTCGACAAGTAGGTGTTGAGTGAGAAAATCCTAATTTTCAGGGTTTGTGTCCTATTTAAAGGACCTTAAGCCTTATAATCCGCCTCCCTTGTCACCCTAGAGATCTATAAGAAACCCTAAACAAGTTCCATTTGTTGTGTGTGTGAGAGATTAAATTTGAAGTATTCTTGTGCATTTTGGAAGGAGATTGGAGAGCAACGCGACTTAGATCAAGGAGGGACCTTTGGATCCAGTGTTCTTAAATGATAACTTCGGTTTAGAGGTAAAAAGCTACCAACTTGACCATTTCTTTTGTTAGACCTCTTCCTAGGGAGTTTTAGGGTTTTCACCCATCTATCTTTTGGTTATTTGGTCACTCAAGAATGGCATGAGAATTAAACATCAAATATGGGTTGTTTGAGGTCCTTTGAGGCCAAATATGACATGGTGTATTTATTCATTGCTTAAAATCAAATTTTATGCTATATGCTTGACAGTCTTGTCGAGCCCTTTGAGTTACTCGATGAGTAGGATGAACTCGGCGAGTCGGACTGTCAGACACACGGGTTTTCAGGATTTTGGCTTATTTTGACTTGGGATAATTACCAAAATTGTTTTTGATTAATAAAATCTGAATTTTATTGATTCTATGTGATTATCTTAGTCAAAATATATTTATCATTTAATTAGATAATTATTGTCTTATATGCTAAATCTTAATTATTTGAATTATTTGATCAATGATCTTGCATGAAATTGGATTATGTCAAAATTAGATAACCACCAATTAATTGTTTAATTGTTTTATTTGAATTTTGATCTAGCTAGTTTTCAAGTGTTTCAAAACTTGCACTCAGGTTTTGGAATTTAAATTTTTGATTAAAAGTTTAATTTTGAAATAATTAAATTCCAAACCTTAGTGGAGCGTGTGTGGTTAACCAGCACACTAATTTGAGTTTAAGAAAAGGTGGCAAAGGGTGAATCGATGTTTGTCATAGATCAATGGAGCATGTGTGGTTAACCGACATATTGATTAGGTGACTGTAACATTGAGGGAATCATGTACATTTTCATGGTTATTCACACCCTGTTTGTGATCCTCAGTATTCCAGTCACAAAATTGAGAGGCATATCGAGATTTAAACATGCCATTGAAAAGTTCAATGAATCTCAAAGAATCTAGGAGTTTCAATACATTTAAAACTTAATTGCTTTTGTTTTTCATGGTGGAAATTAGTGAATCGTCATTCACTTACCTTCAAATTGTTTGTTGTTTAGATTACGACATCCCTCTTCTAAATTGCAAATAATGTTGTTGGGTCCTAGTTCTAATTTCTCATTTGGGTGTTTAATTGGGGATTCTTATCTAATCAACTTTGTCTCTTTTCTTTATCAAGATGTCTAACCCGAATAACAACGCTTCCGGCTCAAATTATTCCGGATCATTATCACTCATGAACTTGTGTGGGTGGGTGATCTTCGACGAAAACAATTTGAACGATTGGACCCTTACCAAAAGGATGGTCACCCGTTACGAGGACAACGAGTATGTCCTCGACAAGGAGCAGAAAGAGGTGGATGTAAACACTGCTACTCCCGATGAGATCGCTGCCTTTGAGGCCCATGAGCATGATGCCACGAAAGTCCATCGCATCATGCTAGCGGCCATGACTGTTGAACTCCAAAAGTCCTACGAGAACTTCTATCCCTAACTTGACAGGTACCACTAGAGTGCCATACATGACAGGTACGAGATCATCATTTCGATGATCACGACCAAGATGAGAGACGAAGAGTCTGTCACTACTCATCTGCAAAAGATGCAAAGATATGTTGACCGCCTGCAAGAGTTAAATGTTAACTTTGATGAAGAGCTGGTGATTGATATCATTCTTCACTCATTGCATCCTTGTTCCAACCACTTATGCATGACCTACCACATGAATAAGGATGAGGTAACGTTGAGCAACCTTCAATGACTATTGAGGATTGCTGAGAGTAACCTCAAGGATAAATCCATTGCATAAACTCCTACTCTTACTGCTGCCCCAGTCTTGGCTATTAGGAAAGGAAATGGTAAAAAGAGGAAGGCTCCCTCAAAGAGCCACCATAAGGGAAAGACCCAAGATGGCACCTCTTCTATTGGAACCAAAGTTGGTCCTATTGTACCCGCTTCAAACCCAAAAGATGCAGAGTGTTATCACTGTCACGACAAAGGGCATTGGAAACGAAGTTGCCCGAAATATCTACAAGATATCAAGGATGGAAAGATCAAGCCGTCCTATGCATGTATTTATACTATTCAATCTAATGATTCATCAAATGCTATTTCTTAGGTTCTCGATACACGGTGTGGTTTTCACATTTGTTCTGATTTGCAGGGCCTAAGAAGAACTAGGGATGTGGAGCATGGGAATATAAACATGATCATGGGGAACAGAAGAGTGTCACCTGTCGCCAAGATTGGAGTTTACTATTTAGTTCTTAGTAATGGATTAGGACTCGATTTGAATAACTATTGTTATTCTCCAGAAATGGCAAGAAACATCATTTCTTTTCATGGTTTGTATAGACAAGGATTTATATATTAATTTGATAATGAAAAGGGTTCTATTAATTCTTA